TGAAAAATTTCTTTCCCTCCAATATCGATACTGTCAATAGTCCGCATACTTTGTTTTTTCCTCAATGTGTAGGCCAACCATCTGCCCGGTTTATTAGCATTGCAAAATGTATTATGCTTCGCGTATTGTAAGCTTGTTGCAACTTGTTCCGCCATAAGCATTTGGAATTGGTCTTTCAAAAGTTTTATAGCACTTCGTATTCTTTCATCTGTTGGGTTTTTAATAAGTAACTGTTCTTTATTCTTTATTTCCATTTCCAACTCAGATCTTTTCTTTTGTCGGAACAGTCTATGTTTAGAATTCATGTAGATAAGTACCCCTCTCATATAAGCTTTACTTGCATCCCAAACAATTTCAACTGGGGTACCTTTATTCAAATTTATTTCAAAAAATTCTTTCAAATGCTTTTTAAGTTCTATTATATTTTTTTCATATCTAAACAAGTTCTCATTTAATCTCCAAGAACGTCTCTCAACCTTATCCATCTCGATTTCTATCCATACAGGACTATGATCAGTCAAAGTTCTTGGAAAAATCTTTGTTCTTTTTGTCTTAACAAGTAGATCATTTGACAACAAGATAAAATCAATCCTAGAAAAGGATCTATGTCTATCAGAAAAAAAAGTGTAATCCAATTCATTTGGATTATGTATTCTCCAAACATCTTTTAGTTCCATATCTTCTTTCATATCAAAAAAGGTCTGTGGTAATCTAATTCTAGACTTTGCCAAGCTCTTTTTATCTAATTTAGAATCAATTACTCCATTCCAATCTCCCATAATTAAAATAGATCTGTAGTCCCATTGCAATATTTTAGTATGTAACATCTTGTAAAAATAATCCTGTTGTTGGTTGGGAGCATAAATTCCAATCAAAAGAATTTGCCCATTTGCTGTAAACAATTCGATTGCTACAAATCTACCATCTTGATCTACTTCTATAACTTTTGCTGTTAATTTTTTATTTACATAAATAACCACACCATTCTTTTTCTGCGAAGTTGAAGATATATAATGTACTCCTAGTTTTGAGTTTATCAAATATTTTTGATCTTGAGTTGTAATATGCGTTTCTTGTAAACATATTATATCATTATTAAATTGTTTCAAATATGTAAATAATTTTTTCCTTTTCTGTGCTGAATTCAACCCATTGACATTCCAAGATAAACACTTAAAGGTCATTAGCCTCTTTCTGGAGCGCAGAGCAATATGCTTGAAGTTCATCCGAGAGCTTCGATCTCGCTCCTCCCATAGCGCCAATCTCTTGTGCAGTGCTCTTAACTGCCTTCTTGTCTTGTCTTTCCTGTTGTTGTTGTTGCTTTTGTTTAAGTAACTTGGATTGAGCTCTAGTTATACGTTGATCTTTAACTTCAGTCAACTGAATCAAATCCAAAATTGGAGAAGAATCCAGCAATGGCTCACTCAGAATACCTCCTTCTGCACCTTGCACGTTTTCTAATTCCTGCTTAGACTGTTCTTTCAATTGCCTCTCTTCACTCTCCTTAATCTCCAAAACTGTAGATGTACGTGGAGATGGTGTTCTTTCCTTAAGAATAGTACTGTAAAAGTGTTGCGCCTTCTCCACGGTATTCAACCGATATCCTTCTCCCTTATATCTGAAAATTACCCCAGCTGGTGCATCCCACCGGAAGGGTATCTGTAAATTTTTCAATTCCTTAACAAGAAAATCAAATTCTTTTCTAGCTTTCAGCATTTTAGGAGGTAATTCTTTAAAAATTACAAGCCGTGAGCCCCCCACTTGTATAGAAGTGTGAAAAGATTTTTGCAGGATATCATTTCTAATTTCTCTCTCAGTAAAGTATATGACCACATCTCTGGGTAATTGTCTTTGCCTGGCCACCCAAGAGTTCACTCTGTAAATTTTATCTATTTTATGAAATACCAAATCAGGATTAACTTGTAAAATCTTAGCCAGGGCTTCAGAGCAAACTTGTCTCAAGTCCTGTCTTTCCTCCTCTCGAATTCCCCGAAGCCGTATGGCAAATTCCATCGCCCGGAATTGTATCATAACAATCTCATCTTCAATTCTCTGCATTTTATTGTCAACTTCATCAATTTTATAGTCATTATCTTTCATCCTAACATTAACTTCTGATTTAAATTCTTCAACTTTAAAATCAACTTTCCCAATAAAATCTGCCAGGCCAGACGCCACTTCTGATATTTTTTTGGTCACCATAATTTGATTCTGTTTCACCATGTCTTTAACTTCATTAATTTCCTGCAAAAATTCCTGATGTGATTTTTGAAGTTTATCATCTATCTCCTGATGTGATTTTTGAAGTTTATCATCTATCTCCTGTTGTGATTCTTGAAATTTATCATCCAAAGTTTTAGAAATAAATTCTTTTAAATCTGCCACATCAAATTCTTTTTTCTGAGTTTGTAACTGTTGAGCAGGGGGAAGTTGCGTTTGATGTTTATGTGTGGGGGATCCCCCCCCTGATGCCTTCCCTTCCTGCTTCTTTGAAGCCATCGTGCCACGTAAGCTAGTTTTTTTGAAGAGGGAAGTTCTTTTTCCTTTCCCTCTTCCACAGAAACTTCTAAAGAAGTCCCCCAGATTTAATCAGGTGGAACTAGAATAAAGCAAAGTCAAATTTTAGCAAAAGAAATTTTTTCTTTAGATAGAGCAACTTTGTAGCAATTTTACAACTTTGTAGCAAAGCAGGGAGGCTTCACAAATCCACTTTCACTAGCTCGTTAACTCAAACGCTGGACGCCATTTTTTTTCAAATCACTTTCACTCGCTCACTTTCTCTTTTGATTTAAAAAGTCAACAAAGCACCAATACTTGCAGTTTTCAAGTTTCTGGATTCAAGTTGATATTTCCGCTGTTTGTTAGAATTAGTTCCTCTCACTTTAAGAGTTTGCTGCTGCCGGCTTGTTCTGCTGAAGGCAGAATCGTCCCACGCCGCCCGGAGTCTCCGCAAAACCTAAAGTCAAAGTTTCATATTTTTTTTCTGTATCAAGCACAAAATGCAAAAGAAGTTTCCAAGTAGAAACAAAATCGGATGGATACTTGTTTTTGACTGAAGTAATTTATCTGGCTATTCTAGCTGCTTCCAACATGGATAACACTGAAGTTTCTTTTTTCACAAAGAAAAGTCATTTAAATTTAATATTCATTTTGAGACTCTTTTATATTAAAATATGAATCTTATTGTTAAAATTGTTAATATTATATTCATTTTGAGACTCTTTTGAATTAAAATATCAATCTTCATTTAATATTTTTAAAATGTGCAATATTTAACAAATCATTTTATTAATAATTGATAAGAAAGAAGGATTTGAGCTATGCTGAGCTGCTTCGGCCTGTCTCGCATTTGGCTCCTTTCCAAAATCCTGGCTCAGGAAGGAGCCCAGCATCTCATTTGCCAGGGATTCTCCTTTCCCACAAAGGCCAGATTCACGCAGCGGATGAAACTGAATCAGTCATGCACCTAAGAGATTCGTTTCCATAACCTTCTCACATTGGGTTACCTGCAACCTTGGTAAATTTTCCCTTCAGGAATTTGTAGTGTGTCTGGATTCCATTTGCACAAGACGCATAAACAACCAGTCAGCTAAAACAGACGAAGGTTACACCTGCTGTGGACCCAGAGAGAAAAGAGAGGATCTGAAGGGGAGGCTCATCCTGCAGACGGCCAGTTTCCAGGGACTCACCAGGAATTGGAAGCTCCCTCTAATGTCCTCGGCCTTCTTCATTGGTAGAAATACAGACGGGTGAAAGGAAGGCAGAAGGTCCCTCGGTTAGCCGGAGCCTCCATTGGGTTCTGTTTTCCCTGTCAGGCTGGAAGGAGGGAGGCGACTTTCATCTGTTTATTTCTGCAGAAATGGAGAGCCTGACCTTTGGGACAGAGGTCCAAATCTAGCATGCTGTGAAAAATACGGCTCAGATATTCACACAGAAAGTTTGTTATTTACAAGCAATCTATGTGAATTTTTTCACAGGATTAGTGTTCACATCTGGTCAATTACATCTGTCCTTTTGGGTACAAGATTACATTTGTTGTACTTAATACAAGAGAGCAAACACTTCCTATCCTATCATTGTCAGGAATTGCCTGTCGCAGGTCTGTAGTTTGTCTGTCTGTCTGTCTGTCTGTCTGTCTGTCTGTCTCACAAGGAAGTCAGCAAAGGTCAATCCCTTCTTCTCTGGGACAGCACTCCTCCCATTTCTTCGGTTCCATACCTAGCTCTCAATGGTTCCTCATGCCATTCAACCTTCCTTTATCATCTTCGTTGTTGAGTATTGAATGACAATTCAAATGGACCAATTAGAAGTGAGTAAAGAGAGCGGGAGATTTGGAGGAACGTCAATGGCTGAAGCCGTGGACAGCTCCCTTTAAAAAGGGGCTGCCGGGGCTAGGCAAACCATTGCTGTACTGGAGCTAATAAAGAGCTGTTACTGAAGTCCTGTGTCCTGTGTCCTTCCTGTGCCCGCTATTCAACATTCGTTGCTCCTCTCTGCCCTCTTTCCAGGGTCTCAGCATCTTTTTTGAATCCTGGAGACCAGAAGTGGATCCAGCATCCCAAGGGGGGCCTCACTAGTGCAGGATAAACCGGGATTTTCATTTCTCGGGTTCTCTCGATGTTGTTGTTCCTCTGTTGATACCAAGACTGTGTCGCTTTTTTGCCAGCTCCGCCTGATCCCCCACTGCGAGGGGCTGTGCGGGGTCTCCCCTCCCCCTCGCCTGCAACCCTCCCCCAGGCCTAGAGAATCCCCCCGCTTTTCCCAGCCCCCCCCGTTCCTCCCCTCCCCCAAGAGGCGGAATGCCTGGAAGGGGATTTCCTGACGGAACCTTCGCTTTCCTTTTCCCTCCTCTCTCACCGGTTGCGCCTAGCAACAATGACGACATGGGGGTTCTTTTTTTCTACTGGTCGAACTTGCCCAATCGCCGGCTTGCTCTGGATTGTTGCGCTGTTGATCACGCGGGGTGCGTCTTACTCTGCCTGTGACTTCAGGAGAGCGGAGCGCTGCTTGAGGATCGCGGCCAGGATGGCTCTGCGCTCTGCGCCCCTCTGGCTCCTGGTGCTGCTGGCGGTCACCCTACAGGAGAGCTGCGTTGGTGAGTCCCTTTGGGGCCTTTGGGGGTTCCAATCCCTTTTTCTTCCAGGGAATCAAAAAGGTTAATCCCAGAAATAGAATCCTGATTCGGTCCTCTTTCTAGTCCGCTCCTCCTCCCCCTCTGGCCACTGTGTGATTAGGTCCCAAAGCCTGGATGGGACTCTGCTGCCTCTCCCCCAGGAGAGCCCCTCTGGGAACAGGACAAGGGTGGCCCCTCCAGATGTCAGTCAAGTCTATCTCAGCATCCCTAAGCACAGTTCTTTCCCTCCCCCAAAGTGGAGATTGTCAGAAAGCGGCGTTTGCACGTGATCAGGTCAGTTCCCCAACTTCCTTCGTGCCCACGCACAACCTCTCAGCCTGGATCCTCTTTCCTGCCTTTGAGGGCTTTGTGGCTCTTTCTGCCTTCTGGTGCTAGGATGACTTGGCTGGTTTCTCTAAATGGATCCGTGTCTTGGCAGATGCTGGTACAGTGGAGTGATGGGGCTAAAGTTGTCCTGTGAATACAGCAGGATCAGAGTCTATAGAGAAGCTCTTCTTAAACAATCTTCCTCAAGATCTCTCCTTCCTGATTGTCACTTTCTTCCGATCCCCACCATCACCCAATGGTCCTAAACCCAAAATACCCCCAGTGCTTTTTCCTGGGACAGGCAGAGATTTGCCTCCCAAGAGGTTCCTTCTTCCATGTCAGAAGCTCCCAATATGGAGAAGTTTGCAAAATCAAAAATATTTACAATGTGTTATTATTCTTTAGTAATCAGGAATTTGGGGTGTTCCTGGCTGTTTTCTCTGAGAAATTACCAATATAGCAACTTTTCAAAAGACATTTTAAAAAGTTGGCAGGAACTTAAGGATTAAATAAACTGGTTTGGAGGTAAAAGGAGAGAAGCATCTCTGGATGGTGACCATGAAACGAACCGCTTGCTTGGACACAGACAGGCCCAAACTCACCAGCCGTTTCTGACTGGAGGCACTTTCACCATTGTGAGGAAGTCAAACCTATGCAAACCTGTGTTAACCTGTCAAGTCGTTTCTGACTTGAGGATTCGTGGCTGTGAGGACGCCCAACCTGAGTTACATTCACACGTTTCTCCTCTCAGGAAGACTTCAGACTTCCTCATTGCTCAGCCCCACAAGGGAAAGAAGCAGGTTCTGGATCACGGAGAGTCCGATCCCCCCTCCTTCTCTTAGAGAAAAGCTCTGATCCCTTTGGATTCTGAAATCTCCCCAGAGCAGGAAGTGGATCTGGGGCTCCCTCTCCCAAAAAGCTCTGAGAAGCCCCTGGGATTGTGGGGAGGAGCAGGAAGAAGGAGGCCCAGGCCTTTGCCTTGGATTGGGGAGGACTGGGAGACCATACTGGAGGGAATGGGCAGTGGGACTGTTTATTTCTCTGGACTGTGCAAGTCCTTCCTTTTTCTGAGCGGACCCAGGTTCTGCCCAAATAAGTCCTGTGAATGAGTTTTAAAATCTTTGGTGTCCTGGAAGAATGTCTGTTCTGAAGAGCTTTCAGAATGGCCACCCAGAAGTGGCCTTGGGGATTTTCCAGTTTAACCAATTTCCCAGAAGATTTGAAAAGTAGTCCTCAACCACAATTGAGCTCAACATTTCTGTTGTTAAGCGAGACGTTTGCTAAGTGAGTTTTGCCCCATTTTACGACTTTTTCAAACCAGTTAAGTGAATCACTGCAGTTCTTAAGTTGTTAAGTAAATTTGGCTTCCCATGGACTTTGCTTGCCAGAAAGTCGCAAAGGGAGATCACGTGACCCAGGGACACTGCAACCGTCATAAATACGAGTCAGTTACCAAGCTACTGAATTCCGACCATGTGACCATGAGGATGCTGTAACAGCTCTAAGCGTGAAAAACAGTCATAAGGCACCTTTTATCAGTGCCGTTGTAACTTTGAATTCTCACTAAATGAACTGTTGTAACTAGTGTATTTTTCTTTTGTTCTTTCAACTCACTTAGAAGCTGTAATTTTCCTATTCCCTGGGCAGCCCTGGAGACATTTAAACTGTGATTTTAAGTGTTGTTTTTTTTGTACTTGTTAATAGAAGTTGAAGTTGTTTATGTCTTGTAAATTTAGCCCGTCTCCCATGGAAAGGTTGAAAACTCTTTGATGCTCCTGGGTCAAAGATTTCGTGATACTGTAGAAACAGCAATAGCCCTTAGACCAGTGATGGCTAACTTTTTTGTCCTTGTGTGCCAAAAGCGTGTGTGCGCACCCATAATGCAACGCATGCGCGACCCCCCACATGCCCTGCCCCCCACATGCGCACACGATGCCCCGTGCTCCCCCACCGCCACGCATGCGCACTGGCCCCCCACATGCAACCCATCCCCGTGCATGTGCGCACATATTCCACATGCATGCGTGACCACCCCATGATCCCCCCACGCATGCGTCCTGTCCCCCACGCATGTGCAGCAGACACTCAAAAACCAGCCGGAGGCGTGCGCACACACGTGGTAGATAGCTGAGCTGGGGCGACGGCTCTGCGTGCCACGTGTGGCACATGTGCCATAGGTTCACCATCACGGTCTTAGATTTACATACCGCTTCACAGTATTTTACAGCCCTCTCTAAGCAGTTTACAACATAATTGCCCCCAACAATTTGGGTCCTCAGTTTACCCACCTCAGAAGGATGGAAGGCTGAGTCAAGCTTGAGCCTGGTGAGATTCGAACTGCCAAATTGCAGGCAGCCAGCAGGCAGAAGTAGCCTGCAGTGCTGTATTCTAACCACTGCGCCACCACGGCTCTGAGGTAAAAATTTCACAAATAGAACTATTTGATTCACTAAAAGGGTCTCCAAATCCTCCCCAGTCTACACTCAGAGCTTAGGGCCTTAGGGGGATAATGTGAGCTGATCCCCCCCCAAAGATGGGTGTTGGCAGCAGGAGCTCCCAAGGAGCCTCAGCTGGGCAGGGTGGTGGTGCCAGGATGGGGACACCCCATGGGTTTCTAGGAGTAAGGAGGGATTCCGGGAATTGAAGTCCACCCTGAAATCCAAGCGGCTGAGTTTGAGATGCTCTGATCTGGGCCTTTACAAGGAGAGTCGCTGATGGTGTGCAGAGTCGGATACCCCAGATCATCCTCTTCCCAGGATGGCTGAGGGGCCTTTCTGCTTTTCTTTGGGCTGCCAAAGCGCAGGATCAGCATCTAGAGAGGAGAACTTTCTGAGGACCTTCTGTGGAAAGTGAAGAAAGTGTTTGAGATCTAAAGTAAATCTGTTGTGAATGATGGGACATTGGGCTGCTGAAATGAAGCAATCTTGGGATAATCCCAGTGGGGTTTTCTGTGGAATGGGGGTGAGCCCTGCTATGTCCTGGGTTCAAAGCCTATTTCCTGCTCAAATGGCTGAACTCCGGGATGGGAGGGGGAATTTTCCAGAAGGGGAAAGCAGGGAGACGGGAGGGGGAGGCTGCGTGACTTCATTTTCCCTCCCTTCCCTCCCCCTTTGACTGCCCACGTCTCCCTGGCAATCGGTTTGGGTTTCCCATGGTCTCTGGTCTCACCCGGATCCCTCCTTCTCTAGGCCCTGCCCCCATTTTATAAAGTCTCCATTAAAATCTGCACCTATTAACAATCCATGTTGGCCCTCCATGAGGTGAAAACATTTTTTCCCCGTAACTGGAAAGTTGGGGTTTCCTGCTGCTTTGGGGCTTCTGGTCTACAATCCCCCCCTTTCTCCCCGTTGGGTGACAGCAGCCTCCTTGGGGCAGAGTTTGAGCTGCCCAGAGGAGGGTTTGAGGGAGGCTGTGCTGGGAGGGGAGTGGGCACAATTTCAGGGGCAGGTAGGGTTTGGGGCAGGGGTGGGTTCTACTTACCTTTACTACTGGTTTGCATCATGCCCCCAACACACTCTTCTGCGCATGCGCAGATCGCCTATGATGACGTCCGGGTCAGAGGGCGGAGCCTCCCACCAGTTTTACTACCAGTTCGTGTGAACCGGTCCAAACCAGGGGCAACCCACCACTGGTTTGGGGTTCCTGCTGCCCCTCTGGTCCTGCTTTCTCTTCCCTCCGTCACCCCAACTTTCTTGCCCTCTAAGAGCTGCTTTTTTTTGTCTCTCACTTGTTTCCTCTTTCTATCCCATCTTTCATCATTTCCCCCTTCTTCCTCTGCCCCACAGTTCTCTTCTTCCTCCTTCTTCCTCCCTGGGATCAGGGTCCCTCAGCTGAAGCCCCCTAACTCTGCCCCTGTGGGTTTCTTCCAGGTTCCTCTTTGCACTCCCTCAAACATTTCCACATCACCACCTCGGACCCCAGTCAGGGGCTGTTCCATTTTGTCTCTTTGGGGTACGTGGACGGCCAACTCTTCACTTCCTATGACAGCAACAGCCGGAGGGTGAAGCCTCGAGTCTCCTGGGTAGAGAAGGTGGGGAAGGACGACCCCCAATACTGGGACACCCAGAGCCAGATAGGACACAGCAATGAGGAATTGTCCAGAGATGACCTGCAGACTCTGAGGAGTCGATACAACCAGAGCAAAGGTGAGTGATGGGTCGGGTGGTGCCTCCTGCCCCAGATTCTCCCCCAAGAGCAGGAGTGGGGAGAAAGGGGGTCCCTCCAAGGGGAAAAACTGCTTCCACACTTTTTACGTTTATTGTGCTTTTAAATTAATATAAGGTTATCCTTGTCCCCATAACTGAGGTTTTCTGCAGATTACTAAAAAACATTTTCAGTTTGCGTGTGTGTGTGTGTGTAATGAGATTAAAGGAAGTAAAAAGCAAACCAAAATCTCCTTCCCTTGACTCTTCCCCCAAGAAAAGTGGAGGTCCTGGCCTTGGAGTCCATCCAGCTGTGGGGGAAGAAGGGAATCTACAGGTCTCTACCTCCCATCGCCTAAGCAGTTGATGCTAAGAGGACGCTGATGAAAGCTGTTTTTTTTTAATTTAACTTAATTATTTATTAAATTTGAATGCCCCCCCATCCCTCTTTCTGACGTGACTTGCCCTTCCACCTCTTTCATCCATGACCAAAGCTGATGATTCTCCAGAAGCCAAAGAGTTCCCTCCGTCTTGTCAGCGTTCAGTTCTACAGGTTTCTCTCCACCCCCACCCCCAAGTAAGTGGATCCTAAGAAGATCTTGATGGAAACTGGTTCTTGTCCTTTTGACTTATTCCACCCTGGAGAAATGAGGGATCAAGTGGGGATCTGTTAGAGTTTGCAGCAATCCAACCAGCACACAAATAAATAATTCAACAGGATTCATTTAAATGAGAAACTTCTTTATATACAATACCATACAAAAGAAGCCAGAACCAGAACTCAGAATCCAGAAGTACAGAATACAAAATCAGGATCACAGAAACACAGAAGCAATATTCACAGAAGCAAGATATACCTTCCCTCCCCTTTTCATTTGGGGCCCTCCTTGAGCCAGTTGGTCCCCTCTGCCTGAACTCTTGCATTGCCATCTGTTTCCCATAAGGAGGGAGCCCTTCTTCAGCAGCCCCCCCCTTCTGCCATTTTGGGGGGCATAACACCTCCTTCAAAGGAACCTTATTTAGGGAGGGACTGCAAGGAAATGTGTGTGTAACTAAACACTGCTTTTGGCCGAGGTAAACCTTCTCCACAAACATCTGTCATTTCCCCTCCTTTCTTCACAAGGAGGTTGCAGCCCCCTTCTTCTGCCCTTTCCTTGCCTGCCCCCTCCAGGCAGACCCCAGAGCTCTGCCACTTCTGCCCAGATCCCTGAGGGTCTCCCCAGATCCCTCCAGGCCCCCTGCTGGCCTCCCAGGGGAGCAGAGCTGGACCCAGAGGGCTCCCCCTGGTGGAGAAAGGAGGAAGGAGACCGGCCAGAGTGGAGGGGAGCCTCCTTTCCAGGCTCAACAGCCCCAAATGTCCCAACCTTTCCTCAAAGGGAGGCTGCTTCCACCCTCCCATCGCCTGAGTCGCCTCCTCTGGACCTTCTCGGGCTCCCTCCTCTCCTTTCGGAGGTCTTTTGACCAGAAACTGCAGACAATATTCCAGATGTGGCTGCACCCTTGATTTATTCTAAGGCTTTGTGACATTAGCCTCTGTGGTTTCAGAATCATTTTAATGATCCCTGACATCCTGTTCGCCTTTTAAATTTTTTAATATAATTTTTATTAAACCTTTCCAGCAAAAGATAAAAACTAATAGAAATTAATGTAAAGCGAAGGTGATAAAAGAAAGAAATCAAAGAAAAATAAAAAAGTACAAGAACACAAAACAAATGGAACAAAATAAAGAAAAAAGACACAAAGAAGTGGCTTCTGATATTCTTCGCAGTATATTTTAGCCTCTCTAAAGCAGCTTTTCTTAACCTTTTGACCCTGCTGGAACCCTTGAACTATTTTTCAGACCTCAGGAAACCCCTGAACATCTCTAGGCTCGGAGATAGGCAGAAATTGTTCCATCCATAAACCCCGTAGAGATGCATTAATAGTGTTCTTACACTAAACATCAGAAATGAAGCTTGTCTTTTCAATGTGACCCCTGTGCTTTCTTTTTGCAGCACAGATATTCAATTATGTGCCAAAAGTGAGATGAACACACACAGATTTCATCTTTAACTGAAATAAGACAATTTCTGTCTTACCTTTTGATGCTTCTGAAATAAGACAGAATTTGTTCTCGGAAGTTGAAAACTGCAGCCAAATATTTAGTGTCGTCCTGTGAATGGCAGGAGAATCTTCTTGGGCAGAAATCCAGAACCTTTTTTTCCCATGGGGAGATCAGGGAATCTCCTCTCAAGGGCAGGATCAGACTGTAGCTCCCGAGGATCTTCCTCTTCCTCCAAAGGGAAGCTCTCTGGCTGAGCAGAAGATGCAGAGAAAGGATCCTTCACCCGTCATTCCTGGGTGTGGAAAGGGAGGGAAAGGACTGGTCAGTTTAGTTCAACTCTACTTCCAGGGGGTTTTCCATTAGATTTGAGAATTCCTGGCATCCTTCCTCCCTCTCAAGCCCAAACAGGAGTAGAAACATTTCAAGATTTCCTTTTGGTTTTTTCAAACATTCAGTTTTCTTTTAAATCCAAGAATCTGTTCACTCAAAGTTGAAATATCTTCTCCAGGGCCTTGTAGAGACTGTGAACTTCAAGCTCATGTCAAAGGTCAATAACCCTTTGGGTGTCCAGATGAGACTGGGCCATTTGCTGCTGTTGCTAAGGAAAATATTCCTTTGTGGCCCTTTGAGGTTTCATTCCCTCTTTGCACTAAACCATGGTTTGTTTCTGGTTAGCCCAAAGAAGGAGCCAGTCCTTGGGATTTGGTTTTATTTGTGAACACAGAGCATGATTTATGGTCGCAGGGATCCGTGCAAGCTTTTTCAAGATCTACCAGATTCTCTTTGAGGCCACAAGATTCTCAGTCCCTCTTTGCACCCACAGATTCAGGCAACTGTTTCCTCTCTGGGATCCCTTCCTTTCTCCCCCAGAGTCTCGCCAGGAGAAGAGGAGCTCCAGAAAGAAAGATGGAAGGGTCTCCATCCCTGTGTTTGACTCCTTCTTTTCTCGGTCTCCCTTGGGATCCTCTGCTGGCTTCTCCAGCTTCCCTTTTTCCTGGGGAGGCTCAGGGGCTCCATCCTGGGAGGGAAAATATAGGGAGGCGGGTCGAGGGAGGGGAGAAGGGCAGCTTCCCTTCCCTCTACCCCATGGAGAAAATGGGGGTGTCAGTTCCTGTGCCAAAATCCCTGTAGGGAAGGGGTTTCTGTCTATGTTCAGGACTTCCCAAACCATCCTTCTGTCCATCTTTTAGGCCTGCACACGTGGCAGAGGATGTATGGCTGTGAGCTCCAGAGTGACGGGAGCAAAGGAGGGTTTCACCAGTATGGTTACGAAGGGAGGACCTTCCTCACCTTCGACAAGGAGACCCTCACCTGGGTGGCTTCTGACCCCCAGGCCCAGATCACCCAGAGGAAATGGGATGCTCTTCCAGGATGGAATCAGAGAAAGAAAGCCTACCTGGAGGAAATCTGCATTGAGTGGCTGGAGAAGTTCTTGTCCTACGGGAAGGAGACGCTGCTGAGGACAGGTGAGCATCTGAATGCAGGCTGGACTTTCCTTCTTCATGGCCGGATCTCTTGTGCACATTCAGCCCCTTTGGGTCCCTGGTCTGGAGCCTGTTTGCCCTGGTGGGAATCCTTCCCCCACTTTCAGCCCCTCTCCAAGACATGGGAAGCCCCGTTTGGTTCTCATTGCCAGGCAGCCATTCAATGGACCAGGAAATGCAGCCTCTGCCTGGCAGCTGTCTGGGTGGATCAGGCAGCAAAAGCACTTAAGGGTGCTCTGTTCACCCCCACAATGAGGCAACCATTTGGGGCTATTCAATGAAACCTCCACTAGCCAAACTGTAGTCCAGTGTGGTGGGCACTTTTAATTTCCCCCCATTAACTCTGCTTCTCCCCACATTCCCATAGGGGGTTCCCTCCCCGTCTTGCACCTGATGGTGCACCTCCCATGCTCACCACTTGGGGGCTCCACTTCTACCATTAATAAGATGTTATCAGTGCCTCCACTTGGGCAAAAAAAGGCCCTGGATGAGGGGTCCTTTATTTTCCGGGGGGGGGGGCGGACAGGGAGCGGAGCAAAGTTTCTGTGAATCTTTCTCTTAAACCTCAAACCGGTTCCCACAATTCTGACTTAGTGAGTCTTTCCTCAAAACAAGCCCCCTCCCCACCTTCAGGAACACCCCCTCGTGCCCCAGGGGGGCTCACATTATAATCTTTTCCTAGAAGTTTTTTTTAATTAATTTACCATCTAGACACACCCCCCCCACTCCCTCTGCCCTGTGTCTACCCCTTCCTCTCTGGGGTCCTTGATCCTTCCAGGATCAAATGGATGAGATTAGGATCAATGGGAAAATCCACCCCGCCCCCCGCCCCCCTCTGATGATTGCCAACACCCCTCCCTGCCGGGGAGGACCCTCTCTTTTCCATTGGCAACTCTCTCTGCCCCCCCCCCTTTTCAGAGACAAAATCTATTTCCAAATTGATCAGGGGGAGATTTCCTTTGATCTCTCTTCCTCTTAAAATTGTGGCTGTATCCCTTGGAAAGAGGCCTGGAGGAGCCTCAGATTCAGGGGAGCAGAAGAGGATGCAAAAAGTAGGGAGAATCTTCTGTGTTGTTGTCCTGAAAGGGAACTTAAGAGACCATCTCCACTATCCCTCCCCTGAGGAGAGCTGCCCAAGATCAGTCAAGGAGGTTTTTCAGGCTGAGTCCCTGGGAAGGACTCAAAATCAGGATTGTGCTGTTTAGGTAGTAGATTAGTTATTTTAAGAAGTAAGAGCTGTCTGTCTCCTTAAGAGATTGCATTGTGGGAGATGTAGACCTCTAGAGATTGCATTATGGGAAATGTAATCCATGATATGTAACCACATCTGTGTGTCTGATTGGCCACTGAAGCTCTCTGCCTGGGTTATGAACTGCCACGGAGGAGAGAAACATGCTTTCTGAACAGGAGGACAGATCTACCGTCCTTTTACACTAGGAAATGGTACAGATTATGAATATACGGATGAATCTCACCTTGACAGTAAATCTCTGAGGATGCCCGATAATAAACTTGATCTGTATGAAAACTGTTTGCTAGAGTTTAACTGCCTGTTCCCATGGACGCCAGATGCCTGGAAATGGTACAAGGAGTCCTTGTGGTTGAGCATTTTCCAGATTTGGAGCAGATCGTAAAACTCTTGGAAATGCTGCAGGTGTGCAGTATAAATCCGTGGGTTTAAGTAGTGGGAGATTTTCCTGCCCCTTCAAGTTTCTCACCCACCTCTGGAGGGACTCAGAGTTAATTCTGGTTTCTGCAGAGCCCCCAGTGGTGACAATGATCAGCAGGACAGAGGAGGAGGATGGGATGGAGATGCATGTCTGCCAGGTCCACGGCTTCTACCCCAGGGAGATCGATGTCTCCTGGAAGAGGGACGGGGAGGTCTGGCTGGAGGACACCAACCACGGGTTTCTGGCCCCCAACGCGGATGGGACCTACCACTACTGGCTCAGCATCCGGATCGATCCCAAAGAGAGGGGCCGCTATCGGTGCCACGTGGAGCACGAGAGCCTGCAGGAGCCTCTGGACTTGGAACTGAAGGGTGAGAGGCTGCAGGGAGGGGAAGTCTGGGCTCTTTGGCAGGCTGGAGGGTTGTGGGAGAGAAATCTGACCCCAGCTGTGTCCAGATGTGAGCAAAGCTAACCTATGAGTCATTGATTTTTCCAGTGTTTGAGGTTGGTGAAGCTGCAGGGACCAGACCATAGAATTGGCTTCAGGTGATGGAAACTACAGAATCCCATCACAATACTTGGATGATCCTGATGAAATGCCCTTAGATCCTCTCTTAGGCCTTCCCTGTTTCTTGCCCCCAGCAGAAAAGCAGCAGTTCCTCTGAGCACCAGAAATAGATGTGCTTTTGTTTACAATTCCTAAAGTACAAGAATCAGGAGGTGTCTGGTAGCCCCTTTTCTTTTTTTTTAAATTAAATTTAATTTTATTGAAAAGACAGTGCCATGTCAGGATAACAATGCAAATAAAGCAAAGCCAGAGAGAGATCAATGGTAAATCTTAACATATATGCTAATAACTATAACTGTACTATGTTAACAGTAATAGCAAGAATACAACAACAAAAAAAGGAAATAAAAAACTTCAACTAAGTTTCTACTTACATTAGCTTATTTACAAATTTTTCCATATTACAATTTCAATTTCAATTTAATTCAATTTATATGCCGCCCCTCTCCGAAGACTCATATATTATATCCATAGTTTTATACATCTTTGTTGTACTGACATTCATAAACTTCCCTCTCATTTCTACCTCTTGTCTCTATCCATTCATAAAATTTATTGCATGTCCTGTAATATTTCGAGTCTTCTTTATCTTTAATTTTTAAAGTTAATCTGTCCATTTCAGCACAATCCCCAATTTTCCTAATTATATCATCATCCGGTGAGGTGTGCACATTTTTCCAATATTTAGCATATGTAATTCTAGCTGCCGTCAATATATGTACCACTAAGTAAATGGTTGCTTTGTCATAAGTTTCCGACAATATACCTGGACTTTGAAGGTGGCCAGTTTTGCAGAAATGGCGAAGGTATCAGCATACTTAAAAGACCGGACTCTAGAGACTTATGCATGGGAGTGGAAGAAATGGATAGATTATGTGCAGAATAAATACCAAACTAGGAAGTATCAGATAGCTTTTAGTTGAATGTTGTGTAGAAATGTATAGTATATAGGGGGTAGAATAGTTCAATGTTATGTAGAAATGTATAGTACACAGGGGGGAGATTAGAAGGGCGGTAAAGTATGATACAATATGATGTGGATATGGATTTCACCTTGGGGAAGTCATGGGAGGAGGGGAGGGCTAGGGAGGGTTAGGGAAGGAAAGGGGGGGAATGGGAAATTTTGTATTTGTAAAACTTTTTCAATAAAAAAAGAAAAGAAGGACTAGGAGTGACATGATATGTTCCAATATCTCAGGGGCTGCCACAAAGGAGAGGGAGTCAAACTAGTCTCCAAAGCACCTGAGGGCAGGACAAGAAGCAATGGATGGAAACTAAACAAGGAGAGAAGCAACCTAGAACTGAGGAGAAATTTCCTGACAGGGAGAACAATTCCTCAGTGGAAGGACTTTCCTTCAGAGGTTGTGGCTGCTCCATCACTGGAAGTATTTAAGAAGAGACTGGAGAGCCACTTGTCTGGAAGGGTATATAGGGTTTCCTGCTTGAGCAGGGGGTTGGACTCCCTCCAAGGTCCCTTCCAACCCTGTTATTCCCTTATTCTATTTCTGCCATTTGTGAGACCATCCATATTCCATTTTTCATGCTGAAGTTGTGGAAGCACAAAATACAATTTTATGCTATTTTTGAACTGGCCAAAGAAATGAAAGTGTGTACTTAAAAAAAAGATCTAGGTGATATGAACTATTTTACTTTAAAGAATAAAATGCAAACACTCAAACTGAAGGAAAAACCATAGAGATCTTCCCAATTCCACTCAGAGTCATGGCTTATTGGGGCAGCCTATAAAAGGAGCAAAAATGTTTTTGTTTTAACAAATTTTGTTTACATTATTGTGTTGGTGAAGTTTTTGTTTTGAAAACTGCTAAGAATCTCAAGATGGCAAAGGGCTGTTTTTGAGTCAAAATATGAATTCAGTTGCCTTCATGCTGGGCTGGTGTAAGAAGGAGGAAGCATCATGCGGACATGTCCTCTAACAACGGTTAGCAAGGCGCCTTCATGCTACCTTGAGAAGGACACAAAAATGAGCCCATGGAGTTTTTAATTTGGGGTATTTCCAGCTTTCACTTCTTTAGGCCTCTTCCCTGATTGGGAGGATTGTTTGGGGTTCTCCGTCAATGATCTGCTCTTTCCCCCAATTCAGAACCAAAATCCAACCTGGGCCTCATCATTGGCTGCATTGTGGCTGCTCTTTCCTTGATGTGTGTGATTGTTGGGACTTTGATATTCTTCAGTAAGTATCTTTGGGGGGGTGGGGGTGATGGAAGGAAGATGGGGAGATTTCTCCCAAATCTCTCCCTTTGGAGAGATTCTTCTGGACTTTCTTCTCTCCTGTTTTCCCAGCCCTTTTGGGGAGCATCTGAGATCTCAGCCTCTTGCTGGGACTCCAGTCTCGATTCAGCTGAGTCTGAGATTCAGGCAATCCTGTCTTCTTCTGAGTTGGGAAGAGGCATCCCAGTTCTAAGCCTTTCAAAGGCCTTGATCAAAGGATTTTTGTGAGCTTTCACTTATTTTTATCCTTGCAGAGAGACGTCAAGATGGCTACAATGCAGCACCCAGTGAGTGTGTTTACATTTGTGTTTACATGTAATCTCCAATTTAGAGCAGGGACCAGGGGCACCATTAGTTGGGAGGGGTATGATTATGTATGTGTGTGTGTGCTATCTTCCTCTTTATCCTACGAACTAGGCTGGGGAAGATGGGCCTCCTTTTCATTACAGCCAAGTGGAGAGAGAGAGAGAAGGAAGGAAGGAGGGAGGGAGGGAGGGAGAGAGAGAGAGAGAGAGAGAAGAGAGATTCAACAGCTCAGTTCTCTCTGTGTCTGCTTCTGGTGGAATAATTAAAATAATTGCACCCACTTTGGCTTAGTGGTTCTAAGTTCTAGAGACCATGAGTTCTAGTCCCACCTTAGGCATGAATGTCACAAAATCCACTTTCCTTGCACTGGTTCTTCCTGCAGAGGAGAAGGGAAACTCTCCCTGTTGGATTCAGGCAGGGGAGGCAGCCCAGAGTCTGCATGGTGGAGCCTTGGCCCCCTTTGGAGGAAATTGCCTCCAATTCTTTGAGGGGAAATAGGGAAACCACCATGATCCCCAGTGGTTAGAGACTCTTCTGGTGGCATAGCTGAGACCTGGCTGACTCTGGGAGGGGAGGGGGGTTCCCTCTGTCAGAGAGGTGCCCAGTGGGTTTAATGTTTGGCCCCAACCGATACCCCAGGGCAGGGGAAGTGGGGTGCAGTGCTCATCTGAGAATCTTTGTTGGCACTCAGGTGCCTTTGCTCCCCAAGTTTCTGGTTGTGACTCCCCGTTTCTGACTCTGGGCTCACTGGATCAGTTGGGCTTGTTGCTACATACCAGCCTCCCTGCTGTATGGCCACCTCCCTGCCTCAGCTGCTGGGAGCCATCTCAGGGTTGGCATGGACTTGCCCAGGATTCTGGTCCTGGGAGACTTCAATCTGCCCTCCCTGGGTTTGGCCTCGGAAGCAGCCCAGGGGTTCATGGCCTCCATGGCAGACATGGGCCTCTCCCAGACCATCCTGGACCCATCTCAAGACAGTGGTCAATAAACTCCGGATATGATCTTCTTGTCAGAGCAAAGGCAACATGATCTGATGGGGGAATCTGGTTTTTATTTATTGTTTTAAATAGCCTACATGGCATTTTATTGAATTTTACCTGGGCGAGACGGGTAACACAGAAGAAGTTTAATGATAAATAAATAAGTAAGTAAGTAAGTAAGTAAAAGTAAGTAAGTAAGTTAGTAAGTAGTCTGATGTCCTCTGAGAAGTTCATGAAGCTGCAGAGGTTGAATGGTGAAGAGAGAGATTTGTGGAGGATCCAGACAAGGCAGAGACTCACTCGGCGTCTTTCTCTCCAATGCAGGAAGCAACCAGGTCATTTAGCTGCCCCCTCGCAGGTGAGTTTCCCCCTCTGGAGGCTGCATGGGGGGAGAGGGAGGAAGGGAGGGGGGGCCTTGACGTCAAATGACCAGTGGATGAGGAACATAGATTGGGAAATTCCTCTTCTCTCTCCTGTTCATCTCAACCACTGCAAGGGGAGGAATTGAGGGGGGTGGGATTGGGACTATGGGGAGGGGTCTGCCTGCCCCCAAACTCTTATCCAGCAAGGCCAGACTGTGGCCAGAGCCCTCTCAGGATCTGACTGTCTTGGGTCAGGAGGCTCAGAGACCTGCAAAGAGGAGATCAGAGGGTTCCCACTGCCAGGAGGGAAAGAGGGACTTATTGAGGATCCTGCAGTCATGGGTGGAGAAGAGGCTTCTCTCCCCTCTTTGATCCCACCTGGGAATCCCTCCCTCCAGGTGCTGAAAGGAAGACTCTCTGGAGGCCATGAAGCCATTTGCCTCTGGACTAAAATTAGATTTGTGTATGTGAGGGGGGGATATTGATACATGTTATATAACTTGTGGGGCAGGTTCTCACCCACCTCCGAGCCAGTCCCAGCCCTGCCCCTCCCCCTCATGCAACTCTGGAGATCCCACCAGGCTGATCCCTCTCTTGAGCTGCTCTTTCCCTGGGCTGATCTTGGCGGATCCCTCAGCCTGGACTATGTGATCCTTCCTCTGGGCTCCCTCCCAGACTGACCCTGCCTGCTTTTTCCCTCCTCTTGGCAGAAGGAGTGGACAGTCCCTGCATGAGGAGAGAGGAGAGAAGATGGGATCGACCTTCCTCTGAATTAGGCCGGACTCTCAGGAGGAGCCTTCAGGGCCTCCCAACATGCAGGAACCCGGATGTATTTTGGGTCTTTCGTGATGGTTTTTATCATTGAATCTGTAACCGTTTTTATTTTAATTGAGGAAGCGAAGAAGAAAGAAAATCTTACGTGTTTATAATTGTGGGATCAAAAGGACTCAACTTGGGTTTAGTAGATATTTTTTTTTTATTTATTTGTATCCTGACAAAGGTATTAAAGATACCCAACACACCTTCCTCCTCCTCCTCTTTTCCCCACAACGACAACCCTGTGAGGTGAGCCGGGCTGAGAGGGAGGGACTGGCCCAAGGTCACCCAGCTGCCTTTCTTGGCTGACGCAGGACTTGAACTCACGGTCCCTTTCTAGCTTGGTGCCTTAACCACTAGGAAAAACTGCCTTGTATAGCTTGTAATGGCTCTCTAATAGAGCTTGATGCAACCATGTTGTTGTTTCCGATGACCTTTAATGGTTTCAGAGAAGGGTTCCTGGAGAATGGGGGGAGGAGAAGGATGAAGAGTTGTTGCTGTTATTTTAAGGGATAAGTTATGAATCTTCATCATCCTTGCTTGGGTTGAAAGGGGAGATTTGTTCCTATCTCTTTATTTTTTTTTTATTAGTTGAATAATAGATAGTATTCATAATGTAGGCCTGTCAAACAGGCGGCCGTGGGCCGGATAAGCCACGCACAGGCCACGCCCACCCTGGCTCCGCAAAGGCAAGAGGGTCGCGATACGTCACAATCCGGCCCATGACTTGAGTTTGACACCCCTGGTATAATCTGTAATAGAATCTGGGGGGAAAAAATTCTTTTAAAAAAGAAGTGTGCCTTCTGAGATTTATGCCATTAAAGTAGTTAATGTATTTCAATTTTTTAAAAAATTAAACTTGATCATAGTATTTCATCATCCAAAGTTTGACAAATAATTAATATACCCAAGTATACCGTTCAAACACTAAATTTTTGCAGATCGTCATTTCTGGATTTTCATGCTTTAGAAAACTATTATTGATTATTAAATAGATTACATGAGATCAATTGCACAGCCGGGCTGCTACCTCCTTAAGTATTGTACATATCTTGTAAAGTTTGCCAAAACTGTTGGCCGAAAATAAATGCTTTTGTTTTCTTCCCACTTGAGTTGCTGCCTGTTTTGGGAGGTTGAAGAAAGGAGGGAATTTACCCTCCTTGTTGATCAGAGACTCCAATTCCACTTTGAGTGGTAAGAGGGGGAGGAACCAAGGCGAAATCTGGAAGGAGCAAGACCTGAGGGGTTTCCTGTGTGCTCCTTTGGGGAAGAGGCAGCCATTTTGTTCCTGTGTCCAGAGGTTTAGCATCACCAGCTGATCTTCCGTAAAATGGCCATTTGGTCTTGGCTTGGTGGTGGCAGCAACAGAGGCTGCTTTTCCCTCAAATCCACCTTTGCCTCAGGCTGTTGGCCAAATGGCTGATCTCTGAGCCTCAACCGGTGGCATGTTGGGAGACAGGAGTTCAGTGACCGGCCAGAGCCATCCTGTCCCCTTGCAGAAGGGCAGCTTCTCCTCTTCTGAGAGATCCTCTCTGGGCTCTTCAGGTGCCCAATATGGTCCAAGAGTGGGGAGACCCTTGACTGATGGGAAAGAAGTCCCCATGTTACAGCGGTTCTCTCTGGCAAAGAGGAGTGAAAATCATTGGAACTTTCACCCCAATTCCTTTTTGGGCTTCCCAGATGCCTTCAAGAGCTGGCCATCTTTGAGAGCCTAAAATGTAGACTTCAGGTGTGCCCAATCTGCGGCTTATAGACCACATTCAGCCTTTGAAAGCTAGTAATGTGGCCCCGCAAAACCTTTGATATTATAATAAGAAATAGACAATTCCTTTCAATTCAATGCTGCCCAGGCAAGCCAAAAGGTTGGACACGGCTGCTTTAAAGCATTTTGTGAGTATTCAAATGAGCGTCTTTTACTGATTGGAAAGTTTTTTTAGAAATATGTTTTAATTATTAGACATCTACGACTGGCCACCTCACACAAGCTGTTTGGGCCAACAGAATAAAAAAAATACAGGTGAAACTCGAAAAATTAGAATATCGTGCAAAAGTTCATTTATTTCAGTAATGCAACTTAAAAGGTAAAACTAATATACGAGATAGACTCATTACATGCAAAGCGAGATAGTTCAAGCCTTGATTTGTCATAATTTTGATGATTATGGCTCACAGCTCATGAAAACTCCAAATTCACAATCTCAGAAAATTAGAATATTACATGAAATCAATAAAACAAGGATTGTACATAGAACAATATCGGACCTCTGAAAAGTATAAGATGCATATGTACTCAGTACTTGGTTTGGGCCCCTTTTGCATCAATTACTGCCTCAATGCGGTGTGGCATGGATGCTATCAGCCTGTGGCACTGCTGAGGTGTTATGGAAGACCAGGATGCTTCAATAGCGGCCTTCAGCTCTTCTGCATTGTTCGGTCTCATGTCTCTCATCTTTCTCTTGGCAATGCCCCACAGATTCTCTATGGGGTTCAGGTCAGGTGAGTTTGCTGGCCAATCAAGCACAGTAATCCCATGGTCATTGAACCAAGTTTTGGTATTTTTGGCAGTGTGGGCAGGTGCCAAGTCCTGCTGGAAAATGAAGTCAGCATCCCCATAAAGCTCGTCTGCGGAAGGAAGCATGAAGTGCTCCAAAAACTCCTGGTAGACGGCTGCGTTGACCCTGGATTTAATGAAGCCAACACCAGCAGATGACATGGCTCCCCAAATCAACACAGACTGTGGAAACTTCACACTGGACTTCAAGCATCTTGCAGTGTGTGCCTCTCCATTCTTCCTCCAGGCTCTGGGTCCTTGGTTTCCAAATG